TATGCAGGCTGGGTCAGGGACATGGTGGAGCCTTCTATGCAAGCAGGGTCAGAGACATGGAGGAGCCTTCTATGCAGGCTGGGTCAGAGACATGGTGGAGCCTTCTATGCAGGCAGGGTCAGGGACATGGTGGAACCTTCTATGCAGGCTGGGTCAGGGACATGGTGGAGCCTTCTATGCAGGCTGGGTCAGGGACATGGTGGAGCCTTCTATGCAGGCAGGGTCAGGGACATGGTGGAGCCTTCTATGCAGGCAGGGTCAGGGACATGATGGAGCCTTCTATGCAGGCTGGGTCAGGGACATCTCCATATCATCAGCCATGGAGCGGGACATCCAGCAAGCTCATAGGAGTGATGGCGGCCATACAACGTAGACCTGGACCCTCCCCCGCCCCCCCAACCCATTATAAGAACACAGAAATGTTATATAAAAGTTTTCCTTTATTATTACAGAACATAGAGAACGGCAACATAATAAATATAGAGACCGGCCACAGTCAGAGGAACACACAGAGCACCCGAGACACTCATAGAAGACACCCCGAGGGTCAGGGAACAGTCATTGTAGTGGGCCAGGCAGAGGGGCGGCTCAGGTCACACCCCGAACAGCAGCCGCAGATCGGCCAGGGTGAGTTTGGTGAAGGTGGTGCCGTTGCCGGTCAGGACTTTCTTTGCCAGTTCCTTCTTCTTCTCCTGCAGCTGAGAGATCTTCTCCTCCACCGTCCCTTCGCACACAAACCTGCGGGGGGCGGCAGAGAGCAAAACACTCAGATTGCACCCAATCACCAGTGAGCGTCGCCCGCACCAGACCCCAACTTCAGACATGGAGGACACACTGATTGGCCGGGAGGCCGGCTCCATCGTCATGTGATGACGAGGGAGCATGAAGCCGATCAGAAAGAAGGGTGTCGCGCTCCCTGATTGGCCGGCCAGACGGAGCATTTGGGGCGAGTACGAGTACTGGCCCAAATACTCGGTACCGGCACTGATATCGATGCTAGTATCAGTACCGGTGCATCCCTACCACAAAGACCATAAGATCCCATATTATCCCCTCAGGGTGCCCCCGCTCCCCCCTTATTGCACCCCATGCAGGCTCCAAGCAATGCATTGTGGGAGGTACTGCACATGTGCCCCCCACCTGGAGGTTTAGGTGTTTCATGGTACTGGGGGGCAGGTGGGGGTAGTAGGAGGGAGGCCCCCCCTGTGTGTCCCCCTCCCTATAATTCCTCTGACCTGTGAATCACGACGTCCTTGTGCTGTCCTACGCGGTATATTCGG